CTAATACAAGAAATTCCAGAGTAATTTGGCTAAAATGCTCAACAAAATGAGTAAGCAGAAAAACGTGCACAAAACAACACAAATAACGTATCGTTTCGGCCGGGCAGCCTTTGTCAAAATACACATCAAATTTCTCTGAATTCCCTGTCACGACCTACTCTGTTTTCACCTTATAATGACGTCACCAGATCATGTTTACATCTTCCTTCCTTCTCTCCGTCTGTTCTAGAGACCGTTAACGGAAACCTTGACGTCTTTCTCTGTTTCCAGTTTTCCATTTTTGCTATCGGGAGGGGAAGGGAGGGGGCATGGGAATCACAGCTTATGGCGATGGCGAGTGTGACCGTTGAGTGTGACCGGCAAGACTAGCTGGCGTTAAGAAAAACTTCTACAAGTGCCAAAGATTTCAGGATTTTTGCTGCCATGACAGGCATCTCACATGTTTCTTCTTAGACGTTTGCAAGAATATTCCACAATAAATACACGTCATTTCAGAGGCTACTGTTGTAATCATTTGTATCTGACGAGTTCATTTTTTTCTTCTTTCTTTTTCAGGCGCTCAGCACCTGTCTGTAGGTTTATTTTCTCTCTATCCCTTTGTCTCAATTCCATTCCTGATTTGTCCTTTAACGCAACGCGACCAATGTTATCCTGCTTCTATAAGACCACCTCCAATGCCAGTATTATTCATGATCCGCTTGCATTCATCCGTGAATTGATATATGTCATTATTTCTTACGTCCTTTTTAGGACGAAATTTTTTGTTATTTGAAGCCCCATTCTGGCTTTTGCCAGGGGCCGCAATATAGGCAGGCCATAAATATGGCCAATTGTCTGAATGCGGTTTCTGGGACCTCTCCACGGTGATCCTCATCCACATGGTGGCACTTTGTGTCATCGGGTGTTTATCGCTTGTGTGATGTCCTGGTGGGGTAGAAAGTCAGTCAGTCATCCGTGAATCCTAGCAGTCCCCGTGCGGTTTTCGGGCCCCGTACGTGGAGAATAAAAGAATAACCCACTGCCCCCTAACAAGCTTGTCGTAAAAGTCGATTAATTACAGATGTTTCCTTAGTTATCGGAGTGTATGGGCGAGGAACCAACAGCATATACATATATAAGGCAGATATATTATTTGGATGTGTATGCCTATCAGGAATGAGGTCATAAGAAAGAAAAACTTCGTCACATAGATTATTTTCTACATTATACAAATTAAAAAAAGAGCAAATCAAATTATTTGCCCCCTTAGATCATAATGCCTTATGATGACACACCATAAAAGGCTTACACTACAGGAGGGGAAAGACACCGAACACGAGGAATACCAAAAATGAGATGGAAAGATAACATCAGACAGACTTTTTAGCAAACAGCACGATGTATCTAGGGTCGAGTCGTCAAATACAGCAAGAAGCAGAAACTTATATCGTCCTCGACAAACGAAGCGTTATAAGAGGAAGTGAAGAAGACACAGAAGAAGACTATAGACTAACCAAACATCGAAACGCAAGATTCGTTCTATAAACATTTCGGAAAGAATCTAAATTGATGCGAAATTAGCCCCGCTGCTTGAATAACCTGGATTCTGGCTACTGCCCACCTCTTGTGTGTATTTACGAACAAATTATGTTTGGATAAACGAAGTTGCACTCGTTGGCCAAGAAACAAAGAGAACTAATCAATCGAGTAGGCTCTTTCTTTTTTTCCCGTTCTTTCTCCTTCCTTTGTCCCCCACATCCCCCCCATCTTTTCTTCTCATTCTGTTATGTCTCGACCATCCCCTTCTTTTTGTTGTTTGTTATTCTGTTCGTCATTCCCTCCTCCTCCTCCTCCTAATGAAGCACGACCCTCAACCGTCTGGCACCAAGCCATCTGTAGAGTTGTTCATGACTGACAGGAGTCTGTACCAAATGGTGTAACTAGCCTGAAGCTAACCATCTAGCAAGATCTGTGGGGGAACAGAGTAAGGAGGACGCAAATACAAGAACATTGGTCTCATCTGTGTTTCTAGTGATCGTATCTTATGGGAAAACATAACAGCCTAAGTTTATCAGCAGTGTGCATGATGACAATGAACATGGGAGCAAATCTTTATGTCCTTGATGCAATGTCACATGATTAAAATCGTCATACGTCCATCACTGACAAATCTGTAAATGTTCACTCTCGTAATGAATGGATCAGTGAAACAGAACAAGTGATTAGGGATTAGAAAGGAATATCATCACAGCACTCCAGAAAGATCCATAGGTGCTCCGATCTCCTCCTTAAAAGCTCCACAAGTGTAAAACGACTGATGACGCCTGTTCTGTGTTGGTTAATGAAACGTCTTGTTCCCTTAGTGAAATGTTCATTTTTTTGCAGCTCCAGTCTGCATCCCTATGTCCATCAGTCTAGACAAGGATATGGAGTCATGTCCTTTGGCGTAATCTGGTAATCTGGTAATCCTAGTTTCAGCATCATAGCAAACGGGTCACCCCATTGTTGCTCCGCTCCTGTGCCAACGAAAAACACTCGTAGCTCACAGTGTCACACCATGCACTCAACTCAGAAGCTGGGTGACGAAACTATATCCTTCCAGTCTACAAATGGAGCAAAAATGCAACGGCCACCGCCTGGCAGAACTGCAAAAAAAAAAAAAAAAAAAAAAAAAAAAAAAAAAAAAAAAATGGTCGTGCCTAGTGTCCACTGTGACTTGAAGCATTATGTGAGGGGTTAACAAATGGTCACCCCAGCAGTACCCTCACTATTAGCTGGGAAAGGGACTTAGGACATTACATCCACCAGCAGGCGTCGCCCCTACAACGACCTGACTGCCTTCGTTAACGACTGTTCACCCAACAGCCATGCAGTTCTTTGGCACGAAGGAGACACCTTGAACTTGGGTTTCAGAATGCCGACTTCCTATAAAATGTTATTTTGTGTTTTGTTATCACAATCGACGTCACTGCACATTGGGCATACCCATGCGTGCGCAGTCCTCCGAAGCAGCAGCCACTCCAAAGTACTTCTACTAATTGTCCCCATGAGAAGCTGGTTATATTGTCTCCTTTCTCGGCCTCGCAGACGGCAAAGACGTGCTTCACCATGCTTAACTCCCATGTCACGCAATCGTGTTAGTGTCAGGGATTCGATATTATCCACTAGCCCAGTACGTACAGCGTTAACGATATCTGCTCTGTCCATGCTTTTTCCCGCAATCATTAGTGCTGTGCTTGCCAGTTGGTCCGCTCGCTCATTTCCCTTTACGCCCGCATGACCCGGTGTGTAGATCCAGGTTTACGGAAGTTAAGTGCGATTTCCGAATGCTTTCTATCCATTCAGAGCGCATACTGCCTGTCGCTATTTTCTGAAGCATATTCATTGAGTCTGAGACAATTACTGCTTGTGTGGCGGTTTGCTCGGATACCCATGCTAAAGCTCTAGAAGCAGCGGCTATTTCCATGGTCATGCTTGACGTGGTTGTCTGGTAAGCGCCGCTGTCCTCATGTATTGTTTTTCCCCCTTCTTTGCGCTGTGTATGCCCATGCTGACCTTGATCCGCGCTTCACGGACCCATCTGTGTAGATGATGATATCTTCTGGGTCTGAATGCTGATCTATCAGTTCCCTTACTTCTGTGTCTATGGCCGCAGGAATCTGATCCCGACAGTACCTTCCTAGTGTGATGACAACCGTAGAGATGCCATGCATGTCTACTGGTGTATTCATCCATTCTTTTCCGTGCCTGATAACGCGTAGGTCACATACCTGCTGGATCAAATTCTCAGCCTTTGCCATCCAAGAGCGGCCTCTTTTGAGACGCGTTCCTTTTGTGTCGTATATAGCTTTGTGCAATGGGTGGTTAGCGTCTGCCGATACCCTCATGTAAGCCTTGACTTGTGCCACTTTGTATCTGCTAGTCATCGTTGGCAAACCCAGGACATAACGCATGGCGTTGCAGGAGGTGTCTTTTGTGCAGCCGAGTATGAGTCTCATGGCCTCATTTTGTACTCGGTCCAGTCTTTCTAGCTGGGTCCTCCTCGGTGCAGTAAGTGCAGCGCATGGCATTGATAACATCACTTCTGTACAGTACTGGACATGCCATAGCAACCGCAGTGTCAACACCCGTATGACCTGGCATACAGATAAAGGTTAGAGCACGTGAAAGCTCTGATGTATGTGGCATAAGTCAACGATTTAGTAAACAGCCTGCCGCAGTTTTGAGGTTCTAAGGTTTTGAACAACGGATCAACATCATGGCACACGAGTAGTACACCTATAAGTGCCCCCTTCTTCTTCTAACTCAAGTCTGGGTCCGAAGAAGCTCGGCACAGTGCACAGGCTCTATAGCACCGGCGAGGATACTGAAATACTTTAGGTAGACTTTCAACTCGAAATTTTTCCCGGGCAGCCCCGTTAGGCTACTATTTTCGATTTCCAACTGCCAAGGGATTTGTTACGTGCGCAACAATGCACACGGGCGTCCGATCTCACTACCCAGAGACCAGGGAGGAATTACTAGAAGTCCAAGTCCACGTGAAAAAATGCCAGCCAGCCCTTACCGGGGATATAACTCAGAACCTCTAGCACTCGAGGCGGACACCATGCCTCGAGACCACGCTGTACCCCTCACAGCCTACCACAAAGTACTAACATTCTTTCCAACGGCGAAAAATAAACGAAGAGGATGAGGCGAAGAAGGAGGAAGACGTATAAGAGGAGGCAAAACAAAAATAATAATAAGATGATGATGATGACGACTACGACGATGATAACGCTTACTTAACCCTCAGACTTCAAAAGTCTTATCTTAGGTGGCAGAACAACAGTGCAGATCCAAGATACCGCCCCCCCCCAACCCCCCAGCCTCCCCTTAAAAAAGTTTTAATTAGGTTATGTGTAAAAGCAACATCAGAACGGTGTAACCTACAGTCCTTTGCAGGTAAGGAAGGAATTTAGCTTTACAAACAAGCAAACTGACTTTTAAAATAGCGATACACAGTAATCGGCCTGTCTTACTTTGATGCCTCTCAAAATCTGGTACAAGAGAAATTTGATGTGGTCATCTTGTAAGGCCTGGCACTTCAGAATGTCGTGTAGGTCTGTGTCCATCAACTGGGTCACCAAATACCTGAAAATGACACCAAGTGTGGAAATCATGAAATTATCATTCTTCGTGCCAGCAGTTTCAGAACAGAAGACCACGGGTCTCCACACACACACACAAAAGGGAGTGCTGCTAAGCAGTTCCTCCATTCAGCTTGATTCTCATCAGGATTCTGAATGACCAGACCGAGGTCTCCTCTGAGTTTTCCCAACACAGATGTGATGTCAGGGAGGTCAACCAATTCAAAATTACACACTAAGAAAGCCGGTTGTCAGCATGGCATGTTAATCATCCACTTTTATTTGGACAAGTCATGAAACGTAGAGATCCGAGGACGCAGTTGGAGCAGAAGGGCGAAACACAACCAGGTTTCTTTTTTGTTGGTGAGAGAAAGGGGTTGCTGACGACATGCCAGAGCGTGTCATAATTTCTTCACTATCAAAATTACTAGCTAAGTACGTTACTTGATCTGTTTATTTAATTACTGTTGTGTCTAGTGTTACATCTGCTTGATCTATTGTTGAGGTGTCTTCGGTATATTTGTCGTTTCATAACCTATCTGTAGTCCAACCCTCGATGTTATATTTTCTAAATCATTTGTGTTGCATTGCATGTCATTGCTGCCTTTTTTTTTTAAATTTTTTTTTAATTTAGCGGAACAATATCATCAATAAAATCAAGATATTCCAACTATGTGTTTTCCACCAAGTCAATGCTGGACTTTAGAACAGCTGAGTAATAAAAGTAAAGTAATGGATCCTTTTCCACGCCTTTCAGGCGTATTGGGTATATAGGGCTAGACCTATATTTTCTGGACCAACGGCACAAGATGGATAATGTGGTCAGCATCACGCCGGCCGCATTTACTTTCCAGGACTACTTATGGTACACACTCAAGGTTGGTTCGACCTGGGAGCCAAGGTCATTTTTGAAAAAAAAATCCGGCTCCGCCATGGAGCGAACCCACGACCTTCTGATCCGTAGGTGAGCGTCTAGCCGCTATGCCACTGTTTACAACAGAGGATGACACAGTAATTAGTGAGCGAGCTGTACCTGCCCTGACACTTGAGAAAGTTCATTTCCAACAAAAAGCAGGATTACTTTTTTTTTTATATCACAAAGCCCTGGGATGAATTCAAGAAAGGTGCAGAAATAATATAAAAATATCGTATCAACAAAGAAGTTAGCGCTGTTTTCAATATACCAGCACATATTTGTGAAGAAATAAAAAAAAAAAAAAAGCGGCAGGCAGCGTTGAAAAAGGGGGGGGGGGGGGGGGGGGGGTTCAATTATCTGACGACTTGTTGAATTTGGTTAAAAAATTATAACACTGTTTAATATTATAATTCCGTTGCGACGGAGAGCCTCATCTCTCAACAGCACTTTCCCTCCTCCACTTCTTGAAAATCTCTTGCAGACCCTAGATACCCAAACGCTCAGGTGGTGGTGCCCCTGCACTTGTGAAAGTCAGTTGAAAAAACTCTTGATCCTTGGGCAGACTCAAAAGTTTGAGCTAGGCTTGATTTATATTTCCACACAGCATCACAGAGACAAGCCCATATTAAAGTGTGGATTCAGCAAGAGATGGCGTGTGAGAGGAACGGTGCGACGCGTATACAACCAGTGTACTACTGGAACAGTCAACATCTCCAATTTAAGACTTCTGCTGCGGGAAACGTATGTCAGGCATACTCTGATGTCGGTTCTTTAAATAGACACCAGCATTGCATGGGCGCCGGACCCTGGGAGAAAGGGCGTGTTGAGCACAGCCCCCCCCCCCCTCATTTTTAAAGGGACAGGGAGGCTAAGCCCAAACAAGGCAAAGAGGCTAAGTGGCTGCCCCCCCCCCCCTCCCTTTCCCCAGTCTTGTATAGAAGTTCTTTTTGTTAATATTGTCTAAATATTTTATATCAGTTAGTTGCGTATACTTTAGGACATTGCAGAACAAGCCTAATGTTTTTGGGGCTGTTGTGGTTTTTCTAGACACATTTTACATTCAATAGTTTGCCACTGCTTACTGTACCGTCAGCTCTCGGTACCACTATTGAAACCAACGCAAGATAAATCGTCCGCAGCTGGAATCGAACCCAGCACCCCAGCATTACCAAGCGCGTTCGAAACGCCTACGACACAGACGCCTACACACACATTTGTTATTATGACAAACATATTTACTTGGAATTCAGCACATGATGATCCTAATCATACTGCGCACTTAAACAAGGTGAAGGCATTCCTGGAACACCCACCCCTAGAAAACTATAAGGGTCCTGAGGGCCTCCCCATGTGTGTGTGTGTGTGTGAGTGTGTGCGCGCGCGCGAGCGCTGACGGTATGTGACACAAACAACAAAGAACAACTTACACATCATTGAATTCTGTCAGCGACTTGTTTGGTGTGAAGATGTCCAAAAGACTGATTAACTGAGAAAGATAAAAAAAAAAAAAAAAAAAAAAACGTAAATTAAAAAGCAATTGGTACATTGATTACAAAGGGGAAGGTAGTAACTACATGAACACTTCAGTTACCACGGTACTTCTTTTTCTTCCTCCTCCTACTGTGTTCACCTGGCTGTAAATACTAGTAGAAAGTTGCTCTTGTTCATCAATTTCTATCTTGTTCCCAAAACGGAGTTTTGCGCCTACTTATGTTTTATAGATCTCTTAGTTTCCTGGCTTCAAAGTCAGAAGCATTACAACTTCAAAAGAAAAACTTATGATTATTCGTATTTTACTACTTTTACATCTTTCCATGTGGCAGTGGGTATTTAACCCCCCCCCCCCCCTCCCTCTCCTTCAAAAAAGAAATAGGATCGGGACCCAAATGAGGACCCATAGTTCTAATTTTTCACGCATGTGTTAAGTCTTGCAGTTCAGAGACTTGCTTCTTTTACTAATTCTTTTTGAATAGCTCAGCTTTACTAAATAGGTGAGAAATAGTTATATTCTTCTTATTCTTCTTCTTCTTCTTCTTCTTCTTCTTCTTCTTCTTAAAGGTAAAGGAAACCTTTCCACGCCTTCAGGCGGAATGGGCATATAAGGCTAGACCTGCATTTTATGGACCAATCGGCACTGAGTGGGTGATGTGGTCAGCATTACGCCGACCGCCTTTACCTCCCATGACTGTGCCTACTCAAGGTTGTGTCATCCTGACAGCCAGATCCTCCAGGAACAGCAGCGGTGGCTACAGATGAGCATATTTTCTTTGTGATTACCGATACATGTCTGCTGCAGGTTTCTTTGTGATTACCGATACATGTGTGCTACAGGTTTCTTTGTGATTACCGATACATGTCTGCTACAGGTTTCTTTGTGATTACCGATACTTGTATGTCTGCTACAGGTTTCTTTGTGATTACCGATACATGTAAGCTACAGGTTTCTTTGTGATTACCGATACATGTCTGCTACAGGTTTCTTTGTGATTACCGATACATGTATGCTACAGGTTTCTTTGTGATTACCGATACATGTATGCTACAGGTTTCTTTGTGATTACCGATACATGTCTGCTACTGGTTTCTTTGTAGCCAAAGGGTTCAATATTAAAACTTTGGCTTATAGAAAAAAAAAGGGGGGGGGGGGGGGGGGGCAAGATCAGTCAAGTATCCATGAATAATATGGAAAATAATAAAATAAATTACTGAAAAAAGCTGGAAAATACAACGCAAACCACATTTTAGTCATTAGCAGTACACTGCGTTAGAGAAAACATGAAGAAAAAAGCCAAGACACATATACATACACCGACACACAAACATGTGCACATACATACATCCATATGTGTGCGCGCGCACACACACATACATCTTAACATGAGTACCTTCGCAAATGTGAGTTCGAGGTAATTCCTGTCAAAATGAAGGCCGAGATATACCTGCGAACGTAAACTGGTTAACCTAATGATGCAGCAAACAGTTGAATGTTAAACCGCTGATGCTGGCTCTTTTCTCTCTCTCTCTCTCTCTCTCTCTCACTCTCTCTCTCTCTCTCTTCCTCTCGCTCTCTCTCTCGCTCTCTCTCTTCCTCTCGCTCTCTCTCTTCCTCTCGCTCGCTCTTCTCTCTCTCTTCCTCTCGCTCGCTCTCTCTCTCTTCCGCTCGCTCGCTCTCTCTTCCGCTCGCTCGCTCTCTCTCTCTTTCTCTCGCTTTCTCTCACTCTCTCTAATTTCTAGCTCTTCTATTTATATTTTGTTCCTAGCCCTCTTTCCCTCACTCCCTTTGCATCTCTATCTGGTTCTATATCTTCCAACCTCACTATGTCTCTCCTTAGCCCGTCCATCTATCTTTAATAATATTTGTCACTCCAGCCCTGCTATTTCTCTGTACGTGGATATCTCGTATTGCCTCTCTTTCTATAACATTCTTTCTCCACTAGACTCTCCAGCCCTGTTCTTTCTTTCGTCTGCTCTCTGCCATTCTCTCTCTCTCTCTTTCTCTCTCTCTCTCTCTCTCTTTCTCTCTCTCTCTCTCTCTCTCTCTCTCTCTCTCTCTCTGGAAATCTAGCCCTTCTCTCACTCCCTCCTCTACCAGACTTCAGTCATGTCCACTATCTTCTTTCTTTTGTAGGTATGCTGTGAATGTACTGTGCGTGTATGCGTGTGTGCATACGGTTAAAAATAAAAGTACCGATAATTATATTCAGACAAGCTGGATAATGGCAGGAGTATACAGGAAAACGGGATATAATGGATTCAGTTAAATAACAAAGCACTGTAAAAGTAGGCATAAACACAGGTATGTGTGCACAACGTTTAGCAGCAAGAGAACGCGGGGTATCTGGGACAATTAATACTTTTCACAAGGTACATACTCACCAAGGAAGACAGATAAACAGACTATCTGTGGCACTTTTATTGTATCTAAACACATATATGCGTGTGTGCGCACAAATATAGAATGAGATATCCAGAAACATAATAAAACGCAAAGAATTGCCTAGTAGAGCTCTACACAATAGTCAATAAATTCTGGGGTTAGCTTGCAATGGGCTGTAGAGGATGCACAACTAACTTTAACTTTCATATCGAAAATTCATCAAAATTATCATCATCAACCAGAAGGTCCTTCACAAAACGTCGCGCTCTCTCTCTCTCTCTTTCTCTCTCTCTCTCTCTCTCTCTCTCTCTCTCTCTCTCTCTCTCTCTCTATCTCTCTCTCGCCAGTTATCCAGCCTTATGCGCTTTCACAGCCAATGCATCTTCATTGTTGTCTATTCACGTTCACTGAGGTCTGCTTCTGCAGCGTTTTCCGGAAACTGTACCTGCTCCGATTCATCGTTCTCTCGACACCACCGTGATATCCAGTATGGCTACAACGATCCAGCTTTTCTGAAGGGATGACGTTTTCAATGGGTTCCAGTGCAAAGACATTTTAGACATTGTTCTCAAGTTTTCTCAACGCGTGTCCTATCCAGCGTCAGCGTCTTTTCTTCAACTCTTGGTCTACTGCGTCTGATTCCGTGAACGGCACAGAAGAGAAATATCATCAGCGAAGTCCAGATCATCAAGCTGTTTTGTAGGGGTTCACCAAATTCCATTCATGGTGTTAGCAGTTGCTGTCTTCTTAATCCGGTTTATTGCCAGTAAAAATAGGAAAGACAACAAAATACATTCCTGTCACACACTTTTTTAAAGTAAAAAGTTAGCTTTCCCTCAGACATTTCACGTCCTTATATGTTGCTTATACTAATAATTTTATATTTGATTTCATAGTGCCTCATTAATTTCCAGAGAGATTCAAGTATCACTGCTGTTAAAAGCCTTTTCATAGTCTATGAATCCAATGTAAAGTGGTGAATTCAATTCAACGCTTTGCTCTATAATCATACGTAATGTGGCTATTTAGTCAGTACATAATCTATTTGGCCGAAAACCTGGCTTTTTATCAATGGCATCTTCTAGTCTTTCCGAAATTATCCTACCTAATATTTTTCCAGGAACTGACAACAACATAATTCCTCTATAGTTTTCCCACTCCTGTAGATCGCCTTTTGGGGCAGCTTCACAAGATATTCTTCTCTCCAATCTGCTGGTATTACTCTATATAATAATTCAGTTGATGTGTTTATATTGTTGTTTTTTTCTAATTTCCACTTTCCACAATTGATATCCAGTTCCATTTCTGGATACCTGTAGGAAACTCTGGGGCTGATCTATTCAAAAATATTTCAAACTATTTAGCCCTTTGTCCATTTAATATTTTTTTAATTGATCCAGCTGGAGGAAGGTTTGCCACCGAGAAACCAAAGAATCTCAGTGCTGATCGCACACAAACAGTGCAAGCCAAGATAAAACTGATAAAGCTTTTAGCCACAAATCCATTTTGTGGTTTGTGTTCGATGTTGATTGATGAGCTGGTATAATTATACTTATAAGTTCTGGTTGATGTTATCAGTCAAATCTTATTCACACTTTCGCTAGCCATAAAATATTTTAAAAGCTATGATCAAGCCCAGTTTAACAACACAGACACTGACCTACAAATTGTTAAGATGCCCTGATGCATACAGCGCCAGGTATTGCAAACATGAATTTGAAATTCAACAGCAGTGTTAGCTTGCTTCAAGGATACATTAAAATCTACCATGCACGCACCGTTGGGGAAAATACTGTCATCTAGGTGTCTCCGACAGTGAAGCACACACAGCCTTGACATCAAGATTACAGGGCAAGAACGCGAGATAGTGTCCGTGTTAAGAATACCAGGAGGATGATAAAGATGGTCTAAATGCAGATAGTGTTATGGAGGGAAGAAACAGAAGAAGAAGAAGAAGAAGAAGAAGAAGAAGAAGAAGAAGAAGAAGAAGAAGAAGAAGAAGAAGAAGAAGAAGAAATATGCGTGTGTAAAACTGGGACAGAAAGAGATAATACATGTACATGCGCGCCCACACACACACACACACACACACACACACAAACACACAATACAGACACAAACACAGAGATGATGGTGGTGTCACTCGCATTAAAGAGGCAGGAATCACACTGCTATTCCTACCTATGGGTGCTAAGCGAGTCTATAAGCATAATTCGGTGGGTCGAGACAGGCTCTGCACGAGTCAGTGAATTGAGTCATTGCAAAACCACAATGTGGTTGGAAGTTATTTTAATCTTTGTCCCATCGAAAAAGCTGATGGACTGACCGGCTGTGCCTTAGTTGCTGATGGCCAATCTAAGGATCACGCGGACATTGTTAATGCCCTTAGAAAAACAGTGCTTCTGGGAGTAGCATGTCCACGTCGCTGCTAAAAATGCGAGAACTGGGAGTAAAGATCGACACAGCTAGGTTCGAGAGGCACACCAGACGTACGAGAAGTCTTGTCAACCAGCAAAGAAATAGCACTATTACCCGCGGGACGCGGATGTATATGTAAAGTGGAGGATTTTAGCGCCTATGGACAATTCCAGAGTGCCGTGAAGATATTC